TCAACCTAGAAAATTCACGATAATCCACATCAGAACGAGAGGACTTGTATTTTTTATGAGCTTTTTTCTTTAGAATTACATAGTTTTTTAATTCAACTGAAAACCAAAACGGAAATTTTCTGGCAGAGAATTTTTTTAAAGGTACAAATTTATCTATGACAATGTAGATAATTTCATAAAAAATATTTAACATTGTATCAAGAGTTTGATTACATAATAAAAAGTCCCAGTTAAATTGATCTAGAAACATAACAACATCCTGAAAATTGGTAGAATTAAAGTCTCTATAAAAACCGTCAAAGTCAAGACCTTTTTCAGTAGTGTCCGAACAGCAAGCCTTCAAGGTAGCACTTAAAGGTGGGTGAACCACAAAAGGAACTAGGAAACAGTCAGCAGGTCTAACTTCTGTTGAAAAGTCTTGCGTAAGAATTAGGTCAAGGAGGCTATTATGAGATGTTAAATATTTATTAGTTTGGAACAAGTTGTGAAAGTTACAGATGTTTGACATAACCTCAACACGAGCAGTATCTAGAGGCACAGTTGCAGTCGCAGAGGAGCTAAGGTTGTCAATCTGCCATGAGGCGTGTGGTAAATTGAAGTCACCAAAAATATGTAGAGTGGAATTAGGCATCTGAAGTGCAAGTGTATCCAAGGTTTCAGAAAATGTAGTATATACTTGAACTGGTGAATTAGGAGGGACGTAAATTGCCCCTAGGATTAAATTAGAATTGCTAGATCCAATAGCCACAAAAACTTGTTCAATGTTATCTGCAACATCAAGCCGTTTGCTAGGTATAGATTTGTGAATTGCTATTAGAACTCCACCCCCTCTTGAAAAAACACTGGTTTTAGTTGAACGGTCCTGACGATAGATGTTAAAGTCAGTGAAATTGAGTTCGGCATCATATATGCCACTGTGCAGCCATGTTTCAGTTAAAACAAATATGTCGTGATGACAGGCCAAAATATTTTGTTGGATTAAGCTTAGTTTGGTTCTTAAGCCTTGGGTGTTCTGGTAATATACAGAAAAAAATTTTGTAGGCTCGGTTTGTTTTAGTTTTTGCCATATACTTCACCCCCTCGTTCCTCATACGGAAAGTGTCAGATTAAAATCGACGGACAATACATTGTCGAATATGATCAGGTACTTAAGGCTTGATCAATGCACGAAAAAGAGGTAAGGCAGGGCTACCTCCGGTATTTCAAGCCTTAACGGGTTGAGACTTCGTATGGGGGAAGTCATCCCTAGGTAACCCTATGCGGTGTTGCCCGATTGTGCACATACCATGTGCATTCACTCGTTAACGAGTATAATCAGAACATTGGCAGGATTAATATATCTAAGTTCTTTGATAGTTAAATAGGCCTAGCCTGGACCCAAAATTTCTCCCACATTGATGGCCAACATACGCAGGGGTAGCCGGTCGCTGTTGTAAGCCAGCTTTCATCAGAAGTTTTCGTTCTTTTCTACGATTCCGTTTGCCCTCCGCATGCCTTCGCCTTGGTTGTTCAAAATACTCGGTGCCTTCATGAATACTTCGTCGCTATACGGTTCTATTCAAAGCCGCCTCCCAGTCACCCACATCAATATGATACGCTTTCATGTTTGCCTTGAGAATATCTTTGTATAGTTTAAATTGATCTCCTTTGCAGCATTGGCCATTTTCAAGTTGGGCATACATAATTTGCCTAGGAAAAGGTGAGTCTGGCATGTGGACGATATTAACGCCCAGCAAAACTGATGAGCATTGCCTCGATGCTGGTGGAAATTGTGGAATTGGTTTCCTCAAGGATACTGTTGTTTGTTCGACGACCCTTCCAGTTTATTTTCAGCATTCTTCTTGAGCAGCGCTGTTGATACTTTCCTAAACACGATTAAGGCTTCAAATCCGTAGAAAAGTTTTGGTATGAAGATTGCATTCTAAACTAGCTTGGTTGTCCAATTAGGTGTGCTCCATTGATTATTACATCTGGATCTGGCTGTTATAGGAATTTTGTATTATTTGTGTTGAGTTGTGGACCGATGCTTTCGAAGGCTTGCTTTAATGCATTTAAAGTAGGCAGTATCGGCCTTTCTCGGTGGTTGCCAGGACTGCGTTATCATCAGCATATTGAAGATCACAGACAATTATTGTTGTGGATTCAAGTCTGCTTACATTAAATAACTTACCATCAGTTCTATAGGAGATTTCAATGCCCAATGGCAGCTTTTTTTGGACAAGGTCTGGTATAAGTTATACCATATACAAAGGCTGAAGATCATGACTGCTGTCCCTCGTTTAGGTTTAAAGTCACGCTATATTTCCGGGTAAGGGTGCTTCGGTCTGGAGGGAAAAGTCGGTCGGAGAGAATTCTGGCAAGAATTTTCCCGGTGATGTTACCGCATAGCAGTGATATTCTTTTGTAATTCCCACACTGTGCTTTATCGCCTTTCTTAATTGAATATGTTGACGATAGAGGTGTTTCGCAATTCTGGCAATGATTCTATGTGTAACCCACACATAGAATCATTGCCAGAAACTAACCCAAACTAACCCAAACAGCGCACGGCTCCCCATCTCAAAGATCTCAGCAGGGACTCCGTCTAACCCAGTAGCGTTATCATTCTTAAGTTGGTTGATAGCTTTTTTAACCTCTTGATGGAAAGGAACATCACTCATATGGTTTTTGTTGAAGAACTCATCATCTTCGTTGGATATTTTTTCAAGATTTCATGGAAATACTTTCTGCATCCGGAGTTAATAGAAGCGGGATCTTTAAGTAGCTGGGTCTCATGTCTAGATCTAGCGGGATTTGGACTTTTGTAGTCCGGTTGCTTAAGTGGTTGGTAAATCTTCCAATTCAGCTGATGAATTCGTTGTCTAGTCGTGTTTTAGCATTCTTGTCCTCTGTACTTCAGCCTTTGGTTGAAGATAGGTTAGTTTTAGTGAGCTATTGCAGGCATTCGTCTTCTGATCTATGACGTTCTGAATTTCTTTATTGTCGTTTTTACAATAATCTAAAAATTGGCCGTTCCCCGAAGATAACCGTAAATAAAACCGAAACCATACCAACTCTATCAAATTATATAAATTTATATGTCTTTCAAAGCGCTATCAAAAAATATAAAAATACCTATACAGGATGTGCAATTAAAAAATAAAAAAATCCGATCTGTCAAACTTTTTTGACACCCCCTGTATATGCGCAAATGCAAAAATACAAATTACTTAATGATTTGAACCCTACAACTTTTGTATAAAACTTTTTGTCATAAAATATCTAGATTTCCTTATACCGAGATAGGACAAAATTAACGGGCCATCCTGTACATATAAATATTTTTATTTCATCAATTTGTTCCTGAATTAATTGTTTCTAAAAAACAATGTTCCATTGTTTTAATTTGATGGTTGCTCTTCTTTAGTTATGAACATCATATAAGGAATATTTTAGAAAAACAATAATATTTAAAATTTCATAAAATTATATTTGCTATAAATAACTCAATATTAAATATATTAGATGATATTAGATAGTGTAGCAGCTTATTCATTTTGCTGCCATAAAATAAATAACAATAATTACAGCACGATATTAGTAATACGAGAGACTGGGGCAGGTTGGTTACAGGGGTAACTTGGCACACTCATTATTTCCCACATGTGTATTTATAACGCATTACCATCTGACAGTTAAGTTTGTGCATTTTAAATGGCGACAAGTGGATGCCAATTTCCTTTTTCAAAATGTCCGCAAATAATTCCCTAAAAAATGTTGTACTGCATTATATTGCTAGGTGCCTAGTTCAATCAATATACTGTGGGAAGATACCCAATTGTTATATTGTTTTGCTGAAAATCTCTGCTGAGACATGTTGGTTCATTATCAAGGGGCAAGCTGACACATTGTACTGACATGCTTCGTAGGCTTGCTTTAATGCATTTAAAGTAGGCAGTAGGTCTTCCTCGGTGTTTGCCAGGACTGCGTTATCATCAGATTCGTACATTAGGTATTTTATATTTTAGGGCAAAAAACCCGCTGCACTACACTACTTTTGACTAAGTGCCTGCACTGAATATGAAAATGCCGCATTCCTAGAAGAATAAGAAGCTTGCTGGGTAAGGATTGGTCCACCGGGTAGGTCTATGAAAAGGTACCAAGCACTTTTCATTAGAAAGCCAGAAGCGACAGGTTCAGCCATGGCCTTTAACACACTTAATACAAAAACGAAGATATATGGAATACGGAGGAAACAGGAGTCACCCAATACGGTCGTAGCACTCGTAGCACGACGAGGTTATTACCAAATGTAAAAATAAGTGTTTGCAGAACGGAGTACAATCCTCTCTTTAGCCATTGATATTGAAGTGATAGTAGAAGTTCATTTTCACCATTTTTCCTATTTTTTAGAGTGCACTTTGATGCCCGTTTTTAAGATAATGCCTGACAATATCATGTTATTTCAAAATTTTCGGAAGCTTTCATAGCCTATACAAAATCGTCCAAGAAACGGCTGGCCAGGTTATTAATAGACATTCACGTCTCACAGTTGTCTGCAGCAGCCTTACAAAAATATGCCAATTCGACACGTCATGCCTAAATTACTACTAAGTCTTTTACCAGACTTAGTAGTAATTTAGGCATGACTATTTATGATATATTTGGAATCATAACTTAAACGGTGCGTAAGGTTTCAAAGTTTCTCCAGAACCCACGTTAGACCCTGATGAAAAAGCTCTGCCCTCACCTACACCAGCAGAAATTTGCCGGTTCCCCAACGCCCCAGCAAGAAATACTCAAACTATTGATCCACTTGAACTACTCTACTGCAATTTAAACAGCCAGAACTAGTGCTCCAAATGAAACGGATTCAAAGGATATAGTTTTGTCCTGCAAATTTCATATTTTGACTCAAATGTTTGTAGTTCGAAAATCAAATAAATTTGCCTACCAGCCCCGGTCTCTCCTAATAATAATAAGTAATAAAGCAAACAAAAAATTACTGAGTCTTACTCAGATCATCTCAAACAAGTATCAAATAAATATTGAAAATCAAAAACGCGGGGATGTCTTTTTGGTTCCCTATTTAGCATTTTATGCGTTTCTGGGTCCGCACCAAAAAAGTTCCATAGGGCTAGGTTTTCATCAGTTCCAACAGACGCTAAAAGATGTATTCAACTACATATTTATTTACAAATAAAAACAAATTGTATGTATAGTAACAACATACCTAGCTTAGTCCCTGTTCCATCCCAAATAACATAGGGCACCCTTCCTACATGAAATCGAACTTCGTCTACTCGATTATGTAAACTGCTAAATACAGTTAAAAAATTACACCCATTTATACTATCCTCTCTAGGATTTTCGTAATAAAAACTAGCCTGAAAATAAACAATTAATTAGATTTTTTTTCATTATTGTAGTCCCCATATTTTTTTTTTTTTTTTTTTTTTTTTTTTTTTTTTTTTTTTTTTTTTGGCATGCGGCCTTTACCATACAGCCAGTTGCAATTTTTGAAGCTAAGACATATACGCTTAGTTTTGTAAAAAAAAAAAATTTTTTTTTTTTTTTTTTTTTTTTTTTTTTTTAATTTTTTTTTTTTTTTTCCCAACAAATATAGTTATTTGCTTCAATCTACATACCAAAATCTCAGAAATTTAAAATATTCTAACCTATTTGAGTACGAGAGCTGTTTCCACTGATACTTTTATAATATGAAATAAGTCATACATAAGTATATACATAGATAAAATATATGTCTCAACTACTTCCATTAGTAAGTATACTATTTCTACAATAATCAGACATAAAGGGACACAGACTGGGACACTCTTTTCACGCCTCTGGGGTCCATCAGGGCGACTTTTTTTGACAACACAAGAATAGACCACGGATTGAAAGGGTATTCACATAAAGGGAGTAGTGGAATCTATTTAACCTAACTAATCCTAATCTATTTATTGTACCATACTACACTTAAATACTTAGACCAATATTACTAAGATAGTTCATAAGAGCCGTTAATACTTTTACATTGTTAAGTGCCAGTAAGTGCGTAATATTAAGGGGACAAGCCACATTACATTCTATCCTAAGTTTATACAGTAGTTCGTCAATTTCATGACTGTATTGTTTACACTCTAAATAGTCCCCATATTGCTTGGTGGATTTTTATCTCTATTACTTTTTGAAACATAGCGTTTTCATCCAATTATCATTTCCCACGATATTAGGAGGTATTTGAAGCATCTGATTCAATATGGTTATGAAAAAATTAAATAATCCTTCACTGATCTTGTTAAAAAGTTTTTTCAGGTAATGACCAACGTGAAATCAGGGGGACACAAGAGTCCCTGTTTGGGAATCGACCCACTGAGTAGTGGACTCAGCCTTCCCGTGTCAGGACTCTTGTGTCCCTGATTTCACGTTGGTCATTACCTGAAAATACTTTCTAACAATTTTCATGCCAACGAAAGCTCAGACCAATCAGTGTAATTTAACGCCGGTAGGGGTATTTGCCCTCGGAGTAGTTGTTTCTGACTGGTCAACGAACTTCACTGATCTGTCTGATCTCGTACTTTTGTAACACCAATAGAGTAGACGCTCGTTTATGTGAACTAGTAAAATACTGGGTCAGCATAATATATAAAATGAGCGATTCTTTTTTAATTTATTTGCTGCAAACTTCGTCCCTACATTTTTGCCATTGGTACTAATAAATATTTCTTTCACTCCACATGCTGACCTATCCAATGCGCCCGCAGCTTCTGCTCAACTTATTTCTATGACTAAGTATCCATTCATAATAAAAACTTTCCGTCATTTTGCGCTCTTGAATCATCTTCATTTCTTTTCAGAGTATCCTCTCTGTTAGCAAATTTGAGTGATTCTGCTGCACTTTGGCACCCTTTCTTATCGTGTCCTCTACCTCAAGCATATTTCACGCAAATATAAAGTTCATTATGGCAACTTCTATTTTTGGAACCATCAGAAACTTGATAGTCTTTTAGACTTAAAACATAAAAATGATTGCAATATTATAAGCTCTACTATAGATCAAGAGTAGGTACCTACAATTTTATGATTCCAATACCGATCTGACCCATAATTTGGTAAATAGTTTATGCTTCCCTTACCCTCAAACCGTTTTCGAACTCAAAACGTTTTATCCTGTATTTATACTTCTATGGGGCTTTCCCCAAAACAGTTTTTAAATGTCATAACAAGCAGTGCTGGCACTCCCTTGAAACGGTTTGATATGTTTACGCAGTATTTAAACCGTTTTCAAATTGGTTGAAACACGTTTTTAAAACGTTTTAAATCAAAACGGTTTAACGATGTAATATCACTAATATCTGCCTATAGATAAAACGGTTTATGGGGTGTTTATACAAGCGTTTCACACTAAAAAGTTTTCTGTTGAAACGGTTTAACGGAAAGCATAAACGTGGTAGGTAATTGACTGAATGATGGGGTTTCTCATATAAAACATGTTCACATAACCGAGCATCTATTCTAATCTATTAATAACGTGTGTGGTGCTCTCTTCTGGCGAATCCGAACACTATTTCTTATTGAAATCTCCTAGAGAATCCATAATTGGTATAGGTATATCGATACCATGAAACTTGAGAAACAAATAATTACAGACGTGTTTCGGTGATTTTGTACTTCCTCAGTGCAATGTAGTGTCCACAGCTTAAACCAGAACCAGTTTCTCTTAGGAAGAGTCTCCGAGAGAATAATTACTAACGGGTCGTTTGGTGCCGAGTTCAACAAATATAAATGGAAAAATCTTGAAAATGTAGAAAGTTATTTTTGTATTCAATCAAACCTTATAATTAATTGATACATTCACGAAGTGCATCGGTTTGAAAATCATGCTTGAAGAAGTACCCCTTTGATTTTCTGAACAGACACTATTGTATATCGGATGTCCCACCGAAAACTGTCAGTGGCCTATATCTTAAAAACGATAATCGGTAAAACAAAAGAAAAACCCGTTTGAAGGGTTGGAAGGGGGAACCAAAACAAGGCACTTTTCAGCTCTCTCCGAACCGACCCTCCAGCGGTAGCCACTCTAACCTCAAAGTCTTAAATGGCAGTATAGGTCATGTGATACCTTAATTGAAAGGCCTTTCAATTCTCTAAACGAATCTGCAAAAAAAAATTATCGAGATACAAATTTAATTTGACAAAAAAAAGTCCATGCTACAATTAAACAACTTTGCCTTATTGAGGACACTGTCAGGAACAGGGTATTTGATTATATTTAAGCCCATACAGGCAGCCTTTCTTTACTATTTAGGCCTTTCCTTACTATTTAGGATAGAAAAAAAATTCAAATACCAAACTTGACAGTTTCTTTTCTTCTATATTATCATTTAATGTTATCAGAAGAAACAAAATCGCATCGGAGAATGGAAAAACGTAACGGGTCTTCAAAAAAAAGCCAATCAAAGATTGCTATGGGTTTTTAAACGTATGTCTTAGCAATACTTTTCTTTAATTTTGTCAATGAACTTTGATGTCAAAATGTCATGTCAAAAGTCCTGTCCCATAAAGGAACAATAATGCGATGTACTTTTGAAAAACCATAGCAACCTTTGATTGTTTTTTTTTTTTGAAGACCCGATATCATGAGAATGTCAAGAGATATCTAATACCTATATATGATACTGGTGTCACAGTGTTTGTAACAATACTCCTCTGAAACGGCTTGACCGATTTTTATGAAATTTTATTTGTATGTTCGGTAGGTCTGAAAATCGGTCGTAATCTGTTTTTTATACCCCTTAGTGATAAGGGTGGTCCACCCCAATTTTTTTTTTTTTTTGACAACATTTTTTATTTTTATGTTTTTATGATGTGCAATCAAAAAATAGATACAGCCCTAAATTTTCACTTTTCCACCACCAACCCCTATTTTTTAATAGCATTATTAGCTGACCCGGGTACTGCTCTTTTCAATATAGTCGAGTTAATTATCTACTAATAAAGCTGAAAATGTTTCAGTCGATCTGAAACCCTACCCAGGAGGCCGATCCTCGAGCCAGGGAGTGAAACTTCCCGAGAGAACAAAAATTTCGTCTTTATCATTCTCGTTTACTTTTCGATTACGTTGACAAGGACAAAACATTCGTTCTATCGGGAAGCTCTACTCCCTGGCCCGAGGATCGGCCACCAGATAGAGAATAAAACGTTGGGCGAAAATTTAAATGTGATTGGCAAAAGAGTTTTGAAAAGTTAAAATTAAACACAAATCACCATATTATAATTGCATATATTATCAATAATTATATAAGGTTTGCGTTTAATTTTAACTCTCCAAAACTCCTTACCAATCACATTTGAATTATGGCTTAACATTCTATTCTCAATCCCGTAGGGTTTCAGATCGACTGGAACATTTTTTGGAGTGATGTGCAACTTAGATACTTAGAAGTATCGGTATCGAATGGATACTTGAACTAAATGTATCGGATACTTTGGAACCTATGTGTTGGGATTGTTGAGAAGCATAGCGCACGGATTTCGTACGAATTACAAATCTGCACGCTGCGTGATTACAGATTTCTGTAAATTTTGAAGGATTTTATAATTTTACCGCTACTCGCTAGGTCTTATTCTTGCGGATTCACTCTGAGGATAGTGGAGCGTGAGAAAAAAAAGTATCCAAGCATTGAAAAATAAAGTATCGGATAAGACTACTGACTTAGCCACAGCAACGCGTGGCCGGGTCGCGATTTTACTAAATATAAACTATTACAGCACAAGACACGCTCCCAACTTCGTCATCGCAAAATATAAGGTTCGTTCCAACCCAGCCAAAAACCGTTCAATGTACGGTCACGGTCATGCGCCATAGGTTAAACGCGTTCCAACCGAGAGACGATCGTTTACTGTACAGTTTCGTTGGCGTTCCAACCAAACCTGGGATCGTTCGAGAACTGGTTTCAGCACCGTCATTTCGATCCCGAGTGGAAAGCAAGAACCGCATGGACTGATCCATGACTGACATGCGTAATTCAATTTTTGTCACCTGTTGTTGTTGTTCATGTTGCTGTTAAACAACCAATTTCCAATCTAACCTATAAAACTGTAGCATTTTTATTTTTTCAAGTGAAAAAAAGTACAAAATTTATTATCAGCTATTTGCTGGTCCTTGGTATTATCAGCTTGCAAGGATTCAGTTTCAGATTCTTGAAAATGCATCAGCGTTGGTGTTCGATTTTCCTTTTTTATATTATATTATTTTGTAATCGTATATTCCTCTATTTTAATTTGCAAACAAACAAATTTAGGGTTAAAGTTATTTGAACCGTCGAACGTCATTACGAAAACGGTCATGAAACCGTTCCAACTACCCGTTGTTTCTGTA